ATCAAGTCAACGAAAGCATCTGTCAAATTACAATGCTGATTATAACAAAACAGAGATCCGAAATGATATCCAAACATACATCACCAATTAGATACTTGGCCTAGACAACTTCTTCTTAACCTTTGAACATAGAGGTAAGGTTTCGGTTGTAAAAACGACTAGTTTTCTCGTGACGATATTAAAAATTCAGGATACCTCATTAGTTTGATCTTTTAAAGGGCTTTCTAATGCATCAAGGTATAAGTGAGATATTATTTTTTCGATAGTGATGTCAAAAAATAATGGCCACTGCCATATGCGTGAAACTTTATGAATTATATGAAACTTGAAACTCTAGGAACTAAAGGAAGCAATAATAATAGTGGTGGGCAAACGGATTTCTTTATTCTTGCCTAGATCATGAACACATGGATTATATCTTTACTGCGTCCACAATCGTTGTATGTTTGGTTTAAGAGCCATCTTCAATTCATCGGAAAGAACTCTCTTTTTCTGTTAAAAAAAGGTATCGTGTGAAGTTTGCCAGCACTGACATTTAGGCAGTGTTTCGTCTTTATTAGCGACATTATGAAGTTAGTTAAAAACGGTGTATTCTAAGTTTGTGTAGACTCGATTCCTGGAAAAAAATTCATTCAGTTTTAGTTATATCAACCATCAAACTTTAATGTTTATAGTTAAGTTTAAACTTCTTCAATAATATCCTCCTCAATATCTTCCTTCTTACAGTTATTTTTTACCACTGCGTACAAGAAACAGACGTCACCAGTAGGATAAGTGAAAAATGATTCCCCTTTATTACAATTCCAAATATATATATATAAGTGGATTAGATTAAATAACTGGTCGATATATGACTGATAAACAGGTACAAGTAAGAAAACTTTAATATTCCTTTGACGACTCTAAATGCAATTTTTATCGTGACGAATACTTTTACTTTCTTTATTTACGTAGGAGTCAATGCTTAGAATTGTGTAACCAAAATGACTGCCAATTAGAGACTGCAAACAGAGTTATTATTGTTATTAATGGTAAAAATAATCCCTTTGGTCCGTCATGGAACACAGGGCTTCAGCAGCACATCTCTATTTTAACCAATTTTATGCAGAGACTGACAATAAGCTCTTATCGCCTCCCCACATTATCTTTTCCGTGTCACTCGCTGTTGCACAACTCGTTTTTTTCCCATTCTAGTTTCATTTGAAGGGCTGGCGATTGATTTCGTACAACGGTCTCCTGAGAGTGTCCGATTCGTCTCTATTTTCCTCGGCATATGTGTTAGGCAATATGCTTTTTACTGCCAATCCTTTCTGACCATTTGATCTTCACTATGGAGCGAAGGCAACTGCTTATAAAAGTCTGAAGTCTGTAGGAAATACTTCCAGTGACTCTTCGCAGACAGAACAAATATCTGAAGTGTTTATCTCCTCTGTCTTAGACTGTGAATATATTTACAGTTACTGGCTTTTGATCTCCCGAGTTATCTGATCTTTTTAAATTTTATTCAACTTTAAAATAAGTAGAGGTATTGCTTAATGGCATAAATACACAACTTTTAAGCTGGAAATCCTAGATTTGAATGCAGCCTCAAAAAGTTGACAATGTCCCATCCAGTACGGAATAATATCTGTACCATGTCGGTCAGTTACAACACATAACAGTAAAACAACATGAAGATGATAATAATTCTTCAAAAGGAGATGCAAGTTCTAAATATGTCTTCTAGTCGCCTTTTGTTCCTATAGAATCGTGCAATTCGGTATCAGCATTTCTCTTAAGACCAGTCTTTTACTCCAACCGAGTTTGATATTCTCCACAGTTAACCTAGTGTAAGCTTAGGGAACACTAGATTTCCGACGAAAGGATATCAAAAACAATTTTTCCCAACCAGTACTCTACCGTTACAAGACTGCTAAATTCCGCTCTGCTTGCTTCGCATAATCATCATCTATTCACAATTTAATGTATTTGAAACATAGAAGGAACGTTTGTTGTCACTGACTAAGGTATTATTGCAAACACCTATCTTCCCTTCCCAATATTCAGTCAACAGGTCACTTAAATTTCTTCACAGCCTAAATGAGGAACCATGATTAGTCGTCTAAATGAAAAGAAAAGAAGAGTTATTCACAAGTTTTTTTAAATATAGTCCTTATTATTACACTGAAACTTAAAACTGCAGAACGAAGCTCAAAGGCATTTTCTATCAATGAATTTCGTCCACCGAGTGAATTTTACTTTGAGCGTTTCGTTACTTACTAAATTCTTCACAACTTCCAGAACAATTCACATACTTGTTCATTTTTAATTTTAGTATTCACTGATTCATAAAGCTCTGTGAAGTGTATTGTTTTCTCTGAGCTTTAACATTCAGCTGTTGACGTTCAGTGGCAAAACTTTGTGACATCTGTCTCAGTAACTTGGCCAAAGCTCAGTGAACAACACAGTTTTCACCTTCTCCTTGAGCGACGAATATTCCCTATTAAACTGATATTTACTGACTTTGCGCAAACTACCTTTGTATTTTTGTGTGAATTTACAGTTACTAAAATACCCTGCTACAAACAATAGAGATAGTCATTTTTAATGAAATTCTATTTTATGTAGAAAACATATTATAAGTGGAATTTACTCACTCTTTGTGTTCCGAGTGGAACATACAGCTTCAGGACTTCGAGGTTTCAGTATTGATGGGTTTGGTTTTACGGTATGTAGTAACAGTGTGATACACGAACTCCCCTGTCTACCAGGCTAACTACCAGAAAAAACTAGGCGACGTTAAAGAGTGCATTTGTCGGGAACCGAACCCGGACCTCCCATTTGGCTGGGACAGCGCGGAGCCTCATATTAAACTCTTTTCAACCAGCAAAACTTTAGCAGTAGCTGTCGACTTTATGAATACTTGGTCAAAAAGAGATTTCTGTCAACCTGAATATTAATTTCAAGAATGAACGAAAAGTTCTTCAGCTGTCGTCATTTTTACTTATATGATTGTTTATATGAATTTTAGTCATCATGTGTTTTTGCATTGCTGCTATAATATTTTCCTTAGTTGTTTTATTTTTTGACTGGAAACACAAAAAAGCAAACTCTATAGAAGTTACTAAGTAACTTGGGTGGAAACTTTTAAATAGGTGATTTAATATGATCACTATGTGTTCACTATATTACTATATTACACCTACTTTAATATTACTCTTTCCAAACAAGTCACTTAAAGAAATACCATTCTATTATAAATACTACAGAGTTATAAATCATAGACTTTTGTTCTTTTTAAACATCCTCAACCTATTTTCATTGTCATCGTGGCGGTCACCATTTAATCCGAGGAATTTTCTTGACAGTTGCTTTGGATCAAATATTTTTAAGCTGGAACCCGTTCACTCAATGATAAATCCAAACTTAGTACCATTAAGCAGATAAAGCCACAGTACAAACACTTTTTTAACAATGCATAGGGACATATACTCTGAAAAACACAGCTTCGAGACACTAGCATTGGCGAAATCAAGTATTTCTTTTTGCACAAATGCATACTGACATTTTCCCTATCTTCCTTTTGAAAGTTGCTGACAACTGCATCCTTTATATTTGTACTTAGCACATATTAGCATAAATAGAAGATACACATAAATGAAGTATGCACTAAGAATATTACTTTGATGTTTAAACGCTTACTGGAAACTTTTAATGAGGAAATTTAAAAATTTCCCATATGATTATATTCATCTTTTTTTGATATTGAGTTTTACCGCCTGACAGTAGTACACTTTTAACATCATTCAAGAAACCTGTGCACTGATAACTGTAGTCCTTAGTGGTAAGTTTCAGAGGAGACTTGTCAACCGATTCGGCTCACTATTTCTAAAAACTGTCAGCTAATTAACATAGTAACTCTGGTTACGGTGCAACATATTCCAAGTATTTATCAAAGGTAGTTATTCGTAAATTATTTACTACTTTTGTTAGAACTTGTATGTAAACCGACGCAAAACATCAGATCTAGGTTTTATACCTGTTTTCAGAGTAATATCGCACAAGAAATAAACATTTTTCAATGTCTTGTTGTGGTTAGATCATCTCAGGGTTCGTACTTTGGTACCAAAGTAATTGTCAGTTATATGACTATAACGGCATCAAATTCTACACATTATCTCTGCTTTTCAGCCTGAGGCCAGTGTTACTTATAGGTTTTCCTACAGTTTTATTTCACTAAACTGTAACTAGCAGTAGTCATAGGTGTGACGACTAATGAGTCTAATTAAGTCATTAAAGGTCTACCAAGTACTCTGAACATTATTATCACTGTAAAAACAGGGAGTCTTTGAAACAGCATATTGTTTTAACACAAAACCAGAAGAACCCTATGGCATTCGTTTACTAGATATTATATCGAATAATGAAGATTTAAAATATCATTATGTACTTCTGAAATATATTTGATAAACACAAATTTATCGTTTCTGAGTGATACAGAAAAATGAGAAGTAAATAAGCTCTTGAGGAATCAGAAAATAACCAGAATCATTAATAAATGTGAAAAACTGGTCTATCTAAATTAATGAAGACTGATATTACTTGGCCCTCATCACAACAAAATACTAGACCTTTCGTAATCCTGGTCACTGAACAATATCAGAGGTTAAATAGTGGTCTAAACTTTGGATCTTAGAGAATCACGAATATGTCTGTCCATTCATTTGTTGCAGTTAAATCAGGTTCATCATGTAACTACAGAAATTCTAGTCACGTCTTTATTTTGGGTTGATGAATGTATTCTTTACACTACACTTCAGATGCAAGACTGTAGTAGACATCCCTATAGACGTCTCATATTACTCCATTGTTTTTGAAATGATTTTAGAAGATTAGTTTTAGATAAGAATGGATCCAAAGAAACAAATATGGGAATAGAAAACGTTCACGTGCTAAATTCATCAACATCACATGAATTCAGATATTGATCAATACGTTTTAAATAAAACAACTACCTTCACCACCTATTGTTTTTCTTACAGATATTAAGTCAGTGGGTTTCCATTAGGCATTAAAAATCAGTTTCTGGTTTGAATTTCTACGAATGCTCAATTAGAAGACCAACCATGAAATGCTTTGGCGGTAGAGGTGAGAAGAAAATGGAAAGGAAATACAAACAGTGGAATACTTATGCAATATCTTGCTATGAAAACTGTGGTAAGTATCGACAGACTACTTAAAGTTATTTTATTTTAAGCAGACTGGTCTGCTTATGGTGAGATGATTTATTATACCGAGAATTTTACTTCAAGAGAAATGACAACCATGAATCATGGAGTATATATAATATTGTGCTAATCACTACTATCTTATACTGGTTAACATTACAGATAATATGGAATTAAGAAGTTTATTTCCCGATACGAATTTAAAACAAGCAGCGAAGGTTGATAAAGCAGGATTTATTTAATTCATCAAATTTCAGTAGAACATTTCAGCTGAATACTCTACATACACGGATATATATACTTTTGACATTACATGCATGACTAATTCAATGTAGTTTATTTGCTTATCAGTCATATCTTCCAATGTAATTTCAAAAGTATATATATATATATATATATATATACATGTATGTAGAGTATTCAGCTGACGAGTTCTACTGAAATTTGATGAATTCATTAAGTCCTGATTTATTAACCTTTGTTGCTTGTTTTAAATGTGGGATTAACTAGGTGTATGCATTTTTCACTAGCGCAACTGGTATTCGCTATTCGTATAAGGTAAGATTATTTTGTAGTGCGCTCATGTTAATGTGGCAAGATTTCAATGACATGCATCTGTTCTGCGTAAATTTAAATATGTTAAAGAGGACAGTATTTTTAAACTTTATTGCCAACAACCACTCTTAAATAAGTTTTAGAATTGGAAGAATGAACTAACAGACATACCATGAAAGTCAGTCTCGATTAAACTCCATGAAGTCAAAGCATTTTTTTTTATCAAAGACGTATCTTAAATGATCAGTCTCTACAATCTCTTTACTCAGAAAAAAAAATTGGAACTTCCTGAAAAGCCACGATAGATATTCGGGTGCTTTGTCGCCTTTTCGCTCTTTTACCCAATCAAAGAGAATTATAAACGGTTTCTTGTATCATTTTCAATATTATTACACGTCCCTTGGGTTCCAAATAGCTCAAAGAACTTCAGAAACACTTATCCACTATGTTTCGTTCTCTGTGGTCTTTCATAGTTGACTCCACGACCACCTGCAGTCTTGCTTTTAGTCTTCATGTGGTCTTTATATCAAACTCAGACACTCCGAAGGACGACCTGCTCGGAGTGTGGAGTCACTCAACGGTCTCCTTAGTGAATGTCTAATCCATCTTCATTTTCTTTTGCATAAATAGGTACATAATTGGTTCGTTTGTAAAGTTGCCTCTCGCTTACCCTTTTTGGCCGGCTATTAGATCTTTAGTATCCAGATAGCGAAGGCGTCTGTTGATGACACGCTTTTTGTGACACGCCATTTCTCTAAACCATATAGAAGCATTGATATAACTGATGCCTTTTTGAAAATCCCGATGTTACTCCTGTCAAGTGCTATTTGTGGATCTGCACACTGATTTCAGAGCAATCAGCCCCTTGTCTCACCTTGCGGACCCGATCTTGGCTGGCTTCAACATCATGCGGCAGGCTACGGTTGAAACGATTCTGCCAGTCTAGACATATGAGGGAGACGACTTAGTTTTGATTTCCCGCACTAATAGCTACTGGTGCGTTTCGTTGTTGGTTTGGTTTCTTCGTCACTTTTTTTCTGCTTTATGTCCATTTAAATGAAGCGTTGTCTTTCCTCCATATTCTGTCAACTTTTTAATTTTCACTACTAAATCTTTGATGTTGTGCAACAGAAGGCGGAAATCTTCTGAGAAGTTCAGACCTTCTGTAGTCTTTCAATGAGTCCAGCCTGTAAAGGTCAACTTGATAGGTTGTGAAGCTGCATCGACTGAGGTTAGGTAATGTATTACGTATGCCGAGCCACTGTCTTCCTCATCTGGCAGTGTTAACTGACATAGGATTTGATTGAAGAAGAGTTAGGAGTAGTCAGATCAACGACAGCCATAACATGTATTCGGATGTTGGTTTGAACTGCTAACGTGGTCCTCAAGACGTTAAGAATCAACGGTTGAGGAAACAGTTGGTTAAATGGCTCAAAATCCTTCTCCATGGCTCACATGCCTACACTCTTCGTAATCTCTCAGATCCATTAAGTCCACATGTTTTTCCATGTAATTATTATTATTTTTTAGTTCATTTTCGCCTACCAAAGTTCTTCTGAATTTTTTTCTAACTCTGTGTGCTGTTTGAATTGTGGTAACTTGGACTCCTTCACTGCTGTGCTAAGTTCTGAATTCAAACGCAGTCGGTCATGACGATCTTATTCTGCATGGCCTCTCGCAAGATCCACCACATCCAGGGAGATTATTGATGAGGATAAGCAAGATTGGCTTAACCCTCTCTTCACTTCGGACTCCCCGTTCAACTTTTTATTGTGAAGCACTAAGAATGTGGCATCACCATATAGCTGTTAAATGTGGCTTATATATATCGGCAGCACTGTATTTCCCAAGTTACTTCGTGATCAGTGTTGTTGTAGGCTTTTTCCAAAGTAGATGAAGTAGAGGAGAACATTTGACTGCCGTTCTATGCTTTATTCGATACTGATGATGCATCGTATGTGAATTTGATCCGCAAATGATTTGTTCTTCTTGAATCCAGTCTGTTGTGGGAGAGGTCCTCCATCCTGGTCACGTTTTAGGCTTTCCACGACCATGAGGCCTGACAGCTGGCTTGAAGCAGGTGAATGAATGATTCTGAGCCTGTTCTCGCATTGGATTAAGCTGTTTTCTGACAATTGGACAAGAAAGCTCCTATCCAAGAGGTGGGTAGGTGCCTATCGTTCCTCCCACACCTTCTGTAATAGTGGCGTCAGCATGCCTGCCGAGATCTCTCTGTATATTTCCAGTTCTTCACCTTTTAGATTCTACGGCTCTTCTGCTTCCCCGCCCATGATAACTTTACGGCATTCATCATCTCTGCTTCTTTTGGATACTTGATGTTCAGTGGTGTTCCTGTCTGCTGGTATTATTTCTGGAAGGTCTGGAGGTCTCTCTTGTCTGCACCCTGTACCGCTTCAGTTGCCAGTAGGTCGTTAAAGTGTCTTTTGTCTTTCTTGGCACTTTTCTTTACTACTTTGTTCAGTACTCTGTAGGTTGTACTCAGCTTCTATTTTAGTTGTTCATCTGTACACTGGTTCGTTTCCCGCTTCACTATCCTTTTGTTTTCTATTGGCTCCCAGGTGTACACATACAGCTATTCACCTTACGGATTCTTCTTCTTCCATTAGATATTTATTTAGCCTTCTCTCCACCTTGTTTTTAGAGACTTCTAGTGTTCTTCCATGTAGATACTATAAAGGATTATTTTATTTTCAAGATCTAACATCACTGCGTCACATGGCAGACTGGAGATGACTGAATGAAGGGGAAATATTATACCATAAACTGCTCTGAAAATTATACATACTGCGTAAGCTTATTGTGCATAATAGAGCTATTGTTACTATTACTATTATTATTAAGCGAGGTCGTGACACTCATTACAAAGATAAATACATAAAATCACGGATAAAATATCAACAAAAGGAAATGTGAATCACTCCTGGACTGTTCATTTCACTACTTTATACTGATATGTCTACTAATTAGCAATTCAGTTTCAGCAGTTAGTCAAGTGATTCATCAGTACAGTTCGCTGTAATTGAGTGCTACCAACTCCGTGATTCTTTAAGAACTATCTATCTGACGTACTTTTAATACCTAAAAGTAAGCGTAAAGTGATTGTCTGATGCAAACTTAAGGTGGTTTCCATCATATTACCGAAATATGGATGTTACATATGGTCTTCAGGCTTTTACTGACAGTCATGGAAAAGCTTTTATTGATTTTTTCCTGGTAATCAGAACAAATTTTGATGTATTCATAAACTGCTTATATCCTCTTCCTTCTTGCTTTATATGGTTTCATTCTCGTCAGAGTTTTATGCTAAGTAACATAACTTTTTACACAAAAGACACTGGAATTTTGACAACACGGAATGCTTTGTTAACAACTCCTAACTCTGCGTATAAGAAGTTAAGTAATGCAGTAAATATTGTTATCAAAGATAATGCCACATTTGACCATTTGCTCTTTGATTTCAGCACAACAAAATCAAGCAACATGGCAATAGTTTAATGACGACATTTAGTTAGTATAGACTGGGATTAGATTAGTTTGGAAAAGAATTTAGGAGTGGTAAGACCAGAACATAAGTTCGTCGGTTGCACAGTGGTTATCGTGCTCGCCGACCATGCACATGGTCCGGGGTTCGATCACCGGCCAACGCACTCCGTTACCTCACTTATCTAGTAATAAGACTAGTAAAGAGGGAAGTTTGCGCATTATGCTAGCAACCCCATCCTGTAAAAAGAAACACTGCTACAGAATCTTCAAGCCCGCAGCTTGAAGCCCTATGCTCCACTGGGAACGCGAAGGAAATAAAAAAACCCAGAACATGATGTCAATCTATGTGGCCCATGACTTTTGGTTTGAGTCACTTTGGGAGGTGTATACGATGTGGTAGGAGTCCCCAGGATGCTAACAGTCAGTAACTGGAGACTGTTGGTGACATGGTTTAGTGATGCAGATGTATTCACCCTTTTTGACCGACTAGACTCAATAAATCACCATTATTCTCTAGGTGGTCATTTTTTCTGTTGCACGCTTCCGTTTATTACAGCTTTGTAGTGCTTATTCTTTCTACTTTTTGTGTGCTTTTATGAATGATTACAATTTGAACTGCTGCACATTTTTGCGAAACTCCATGTTAAAAATTTAATTTTCCTTTGTTTCAGTAGATTTATATGACAATGAGGTTTATTTTCTTCAATAATTCGTGACACAATAATGTATTCAATATGATTTTACAAAACTTGGTTAATAAGATTGTTTATTGCATTTAGGTAACTGTTGCTGCTGCTTAGTATGCTGCCCATTTGCTATTACTGAAATTTATCACTATGCCTGTTCATTACCATGGTCAATAGCATTTCTATTTTCGATTATACTATTGCCATTTCATATGTGTACAATACTAATACTCCGTCAAAGAGTTCGACGTGCGCACCGCATCGAAGGCAACTGTATTAGTGACCTGTGCTGTTTAATGTGTTGTTGTTGGCCCACTATTATTTGTCAGTTACGCGATCAAATACTACATCTGCGTTCCAAAGCTGAATGGAAGTTAGGTTATTCAGAACGATTGGATGATAAGCCACCATGGGTGAAGCTTTTCAGTAAACTAAAAAGGAAGAAAAGAAATAAAGATGAAGAAAGCGCAACAAACAGTGATGATGATGTTGAAGACGATAACGATGAAAACGACGAAGATGAAAACCAAGATGAGGACACTGATCAAGAAGACAGTGAAGATGAAGCGGATCAAAGTAAATCCAGTTCAAGAAAAAAATGACTGTTGTAAAGAAATCCCATTATCATTTAAAGCTTTATAATATATTATCAGCATGTTCCACTCCCTTTCAAGTCAGTTATAAAAACAGGTGCTTACCAGCCTTACTTGACGCTATTTTGAATATTGATTAACCTTTTGTTGATAAATGTTATAAATCTTTTACCTCATATACATAAAGGGATTTAGACAATTAACAACATTAAAATACTCAGAAATTTCTCGTTCTAAATTGGTTACTAGATGCATTCTGTTCTTCAGTCGGTAGGAGAAAAAGCCAAAGTTTAAAGACCGCTGATTAGCGTCCCACTGCCACTGAAGCTTCCTTCAAATTCTGTCAACACCTCTTTTTTACCATTGAAATATTAGGTGTTTAAATTAGGCTGATCACAGAAATAAAGTCGATAGATCATTGCATAACAGAAGACATTTATTAGCTTATTTGAACACTTTATTCATGTAAGTGGTAATATGTTAAATCACTTAAAGCGCATTTCTTCTCGTTGTTTAAACTTTATGTGCAAACCTACGATACTATATTTAGTATATTTCAAATTCCAAAATGTTTAGGCAAAATCTGGATGAATAAAAAGGAAATACAAATTTATATATTTTTTTCTTAAAAGTTACTAGTTTACACCAGTTAACTGTTATCAAACAAAATGCTTCTTATCATCGAACATTCCGAAAGATAGTTGACTTGATAAAGCCTCTTGGAGGGCTAGTCATTGACGCTGCTAAACGAATGACACTCGATTGAATTCGCGAACTGCATTTATTCCCATTCGGAGGTTTGAACTTAACAAAAATCAGTTTAGGATTATAGTTTCTCTTAAAAAAGTCAAGCCAGTTTCTAGGGTTGCAAACATGAACTTTTCGCGTAATACTCACAAGAGTAAAAGTAATTTAACACATATATAGAGAGAAGGTGATTAGATCAGTAAATGAAATTAACTCATGAAAAGATTCAGGCTGAAAGTTATCGTACACAGGTATTAAAAGTCATTTGTTGAATACTCTTGTTGCAAACGTCTACAACTAGTGGTAGTGAAGCTGGTATCCACAATTATTCACCTGCCTATTCTTGTATCTCACTAATCTGATATCATTTTAAATAGGGACTGAAATTCAGTTTGTACCATACGAAAGTTTCAAATAATGATAAAATCTGAAGGTAGACTATGAAAGCTTTTGTTTTTTCTAATATGTTAAAACTACAATGATAATTCAAAGGGGAAATCTCAAACTAATAGTACTTGTCTTATAAGATAGTAAAATAAAGAATAGTTTATTTTATTTCGTTTTTGCAATGCACAGCTTTTCATAATTAGCAAAATGTGACAGAAAACTCAGTCACTTTATTTTGATGAATATGATAGAATTAAACCCCTCAAAGCCAATGTATTAGAAGTCTGGATTATTTATGAATTGACAGCTGGAAATTGAGCCATATATTTATAAGTTTTAACTAACTGACTGATCAATGCCTGATTTATTAGTATCTGTCCATAATTTATTTTATTGAATGCCTTGAGTGTAAATGAATGTTTCACCCAGGAAAATAATTAGTCAAAGTCTGTGTAACTCTAGTGGTATTTACCTGTGGTTTTCTTGTCGTCAACATTATCAGTCAGCAGTATTTCATGTAAATCCACTAAAATCTACAAGTATTCCAAATATCTTTGTATTATCCTAACGAACAAAAGTATCTGTTGTTGTTATATAACCAAAAAGCAAATTAGCGTATAAAGAAAACAGCACTCAAATCAATACTGTTGTCTCTCCTATGCAGCTTTCAGAAGTGGTTTTCGTAGACTGACAAGATCAAAACACTATGCACATTTGATCATCTGTACGAACTTCAATCAGTTGTTAAAATCAGCTACAGTGTAAAACAACTTCTAATTATGAAGACAGATGAATTTAGAAATCGCTTTTGACCCTAATTTTGAGGCTTTTAATCTGGAAAAACAAAAAGGTTCTTTTAGGTTGTATAGGTATTCATTTAGTTTAAGAACAGTTGACTGATGTAGATAGACCTATATTAATATTTTAAAATGTTTGATTACAAAACATCAACTGAGCCAGAACATTCTAAGCACTGTTAACTTGCATAAAATACTTGCCAAAAACTTCAGAAAGAAATACTTAATAGCGGTAAAATGTAAAATCGAAATTTCTGAATAGATGAATAGGTAATTAGGCACGAGTCAACTGAAAACTCAAAACCATATAAAAAGCTATTAAAGTATGTAAATTTAAATATACTTACTTATAAAACAATAGATATATATATATGAATATTAATTACATAGAAAATGGACAAAGTTTAATATATTTACATAGCGGATTTACTTGTTACTAAGTAAAGTGAAAGTAAATGTTTGGATAAGCATCTTTCAAATGCAGCATTATCTCAGTTATTCGCCGAAGGTGAAAATCCGTTTGGAAGGCAATAACACACAAATGAAAGTGACTTGTATTTGCGCTTCAACTTAACTGTTTCTTGTCGACTGGGTAACTCTAATACTTTTTTAAACCTCTACTTGTGACGTACATCCCATTTTGAATCTAGAGAGAATCTCTTTAGTACGTCTTAGATAGTTAACTTTACAGAAGTAGTTCAACCGTTGTAGAAGCTTATATAACGCTTTATCAAGATGCATATCACTAAAAGAAGAATAGCATTTAGGCTATGTAGTAATGTGCGATTCCGTAATAGGATAATTCATCGAATAAATAATACTGTATCACTGTGAGCGATATGAAATATACACCACTGTTCACCACGTTTTTCTCCAACATTCTACGAAAGCCTTCTTTCCTCATTTACTTCATTTCTTTTAATTTTATTTAATTACTGCTCTTCAGTTGTGACAGAGTTTTTTTCCGGGACATATCATACATAGAAGTGCATGCCAACTATTCGGAACGTCAGATAAACATAGGTTGGACTAGAATGCAGCTTTCATAAGGAAAATTAAAATGGTGGTCGTCCTTGTAATGTGCAACTTATTACATTTGGTTCAATTTGCAAGAGACTGTTTATAATTTTTGCCAAAATATGGTCATAGTTTTCATAAAGTATCTTTTTACGATTCAGATGCAAATTATTTTGACTAAAAGAATACTTAGAAATTGTGCATCCATCATGGGCTACAGTTTTTTAATCTTTAATCCATTTTCTGATATCGGAACAATTAGTTTGCACCTTCAGACATTTGTTAGTGTTACTTAACTTCAAACTTATTATATAAAGGCAGACTAATTGACGTTATGTAACCTATGAAAATCCGTCGTTTGATTAAAAAGGCACGGCTTTAGCTGAATCTGTCTGATTAATTTTTAAAAACATTGAAAATCAAACTAGGATTTCAATTCATCTGAATGCTCTCTAACATATAACTTTATGCAGAGAACTCACAGGTATCAGTTTCTCATATGGTAAACTCTCTAATGAAGTGAAACTGCATCTATCTAAACAGAATGAGCATGTATTAGTGTAGCATAGAGTGTACCGACAAATTGGTTGAAAATATTTAAGAATTGCGATTCCTTCTTTTAGTAATTTTTACCATCAATCAGGACCCGTGACGATGATAGGGATAGTAACCTGATCACTTACACCATCGTTAAATAAAATGGGCTTAATATGATACAGAACTATGGCAATGAATGCAAAACATAATTAGTAGGTCAGATGATCAAAACATTCACTGGAATTCTTCAACTTGCGTAAAAATAAAGCATCCTAACTCGATATATGCTAGTGTATCATGAATTCCGTAGTGCTTTCCACGACTTTAACGAGGTACTTTTGAAATAAACTAGTGTCTTAAAAAAGCAATCACTTGAAGCTTTGGATCTACAACTCACGCATGCACTAAAGAACATCCGATGAGTTTAAAATTAATTCTGAAACAGTGAAGATAGAAAATGTATATCTACTGCTAACCTGTCAACCAAGTTGTATTGGTTCCATTGCTGAAAAGAAGTTCTACCTGTTAAATATAACCAAAAGAATTTCGGCAAGGTCTTATAATGACTAATCGCCTTTGTATTTCACTAAGTTTTTCCAAGCAGTACTAAGTCTGCTGGTTTAATTTTGCTTCTATTTAGAACAACTTGTACAGGCTCTGAATTATAGTCATATTAATGCAATTTTACGTGTAAAAAGGCCTAGACCTAAGCCCTAAAGCAGTTGCTGGTGTAAGCTTTTTTTAGTTGGTTTTTATCCTCTGTTTTTACCACCTACAATCACTTGCATGAATACTGCTTCACTAAATACTCAAAAAAAAGGTCACAAAATCTTTTGAATGTATGCTTGAAACAGACATAGTTGTTTGGAAAACAAATAAATAAAGTAGTTGTAAGTTATAGTCATATTAACTTCTTCAGTTACCATTGGAAATCCAAATATATACAGAAATACTTGACACCTTTTCCCTCATATTTCATTTACCCAAAAAATACCAGCTTAGCAAAATTTACTACTTCAATTTCACGATGGTTGATTAATACTGTGCCCACAACATTTATTGCATTACTATTTTATCTACTAACACGTTTTCTAAGGACGCTCAGTATCGTCATTGTTAGCACAATATTTATAATAACGTCATCAGTTTGTAAAGCTAATTAAAATATAACTTTAACGTAGGGATGGATATGTCTGAATAGAGTAAAGTGAATGAAAAGCTTAAGGTAAGCGAGAACACGTAAGCAGCCAGTTTGTAAACACTTTAATTTCATATGACAGATGCTTAGGGTAAATTTTAAAGTCATAAATATGACAATAAACACCAAAAGCATAATAAATTGATTCGAATGACGTTTGCAATCAAGGCTGTCTTGTGTTTATCAGAAATGAAGATTACATATAATTATGAGAATTTTGTGGAGAAAAGAGAGGCTACAACATGTGGTGATAAGAGGCGAAATAGAGATTTATGCACAAAACACCTAGTACTAACTAAAAGCCAGCGAACTGTTTGGAATTACGAGACTTACGCATGCGGACATTTCTGAACTTACTTTGCATCTGAGATCACAAAACTATGAATATTTTATATATCTTGATTTAGATTTGTGCATATTAAAGA